AGGAATCAGACTCTTGACCTTGGCATTGTTAGCATCATACTCTACTGTGTGAACTACAACTTGTATTTTACCTGGAATATTCAAAACCAGGGTTCAGTATTAATACCGTAAATGTAGATAATTTGATGCTCTTGTGGGTAAAGTAGCTGTCATAAAGACAGACATGAATGACACAATCTGTAGTTAAAATATCCAATTGTGCTGCTAAATTAGATAAAGAATAAACCGAGTAAATGAAATGCATTTATAATAGATCTCATTTTCTCAGCGTCATGTTCATTCTGTCCTGCGGTGCGTCACACGTCCTCTGGAGTGTGTTTGAGTCACTATGTTTCTCTGTCATCTCATTTCTCATGAGTTTTGGTCAGCTGAGCTGTGTGTGTACGTGCTCTGTCAAGTTTAGAGCTTGTTTGTTTATGTGTGTATGTTTAGGAGTTAATGAGATTGCGATCATGTGTGTGTGTGTTCCATATGTATGAGGGAAATGCAGAGATGCTTTTGTTTTCAGAGTAAGTTTGATTGTTTGATTATGTGTGTGTGTTTGTTTGTCTTGATTGATGGAGTGAGTGAATTTCAGATTGTTTAGAGAACTTTAAAAGCGGGAAAACCAGCCCACCAATCAAAGACAGCCACGCTGTAACACACTAATTAACACTAATTAACCTTACCATCATCGTTAGCTTAATTTGCCCTTCATCTTGCCCACATAACGCTCTCTCCAATCACACCTCCCTCATCCCCCCGTCTTATTATCTCCTCTCTCATTCCTCCTCCATTCGCTACCCCTCCTCCTAAAGGCCAGTGAAGCAGAGCTGTGTGTGTGTGTGTGTTTGTCAAAGAGAGAAATAGAGTGCGAGGTGAGAGAGGCACAGAAACAGCGGGGGAGAGAGAGACAGAGAGAGAGAGACTGTGTATGTTTGTGTGAGCGAGACAAGAAAGATGGTCTGAGCCAGAGAGAGAGAGAGAGAGAGATCAAAACCTGCCTGCGGGTAAATGAATAAATCATGTCTTCCCTCCGTCCAGAGAACTGAAGCACGGATGAGTAATACACACACACACACTATTATTAGAACTCTTTACACAAACACAACACACACACATACACTGATATTATTAGAACTCTTTACACACATAAACAGATATTGTTGGAACTCTTTACACACATACACACACACACACACACACACACACACACACGTTGATCGCACCCACACAGCTGGGCAGCAGCAGATCCCGTTGCCCCACTGCGGTGAGCTCTTGTTAATAATGTTTAGGGGTGGGATGACCAAAATCTTACATCACTGTATAAGTAGTTTTTGCTTCACAATAACAATATGTATCACAATATGTAACCATGGACCACAAAACCAGTCATAAGTAGCATGGGTATATTTGT